TCGGTACGGCCACATCACGAATTCCTTCCAACCAACTTGCCCTTCGAAATGGAGAGTCATGCCACAATATTTCATTAAGGAATTCTTCGGAACCCAGTTTTTCTTCATGTCTTTTAGCTGAACTTCAACAGCGTCTGATTATGAGAAAACTCGACTTTCAGGCCCTAAATCAGCGTAATCAAGCGAGGCAGAACACATTTTTGTGCAGGCTTTACTCATCCTCAAAATAACATTCACAGGAGAAATATGTAGTCATTTGATATGCGCGCCGCGACGGTTTGATTAGTCATTCACACAGGAGCTTCCTATTGGATCAACCAGGATGGCCTATCACGTCAGGCCAAGTCGCATGCCAAGAACCAATCAGAAGCTGCCACATACGATCCGCTGGCTGACGCTCAACACGGCCCCAGTCTTCGCTCTACTCGGACGTCTTCGTCTTCACTCACCGGCCTTTGGCGCCGTCCTTACGCGCCGATTCCTTTTGCTGAGGCATTATTATGTTCTACACAAACAATTTGGGATTGCCCCTATTCCCCAGAATTGACTCACAAAAGGCCTGCGCTAACCTCTTCGTCAGACATGGAAGAGACGTCAGGCAACAACATCTTGCCCTGTGGCAAGTCCAAACCGTGTTTCCGTCAAAGTGGCGCTCGTTTGCAATTTCATCGATCGGTAATCCTTCAAAATGGCGCTCAGCACAAGTACGAGTCATTTTTCGCCCTCGACCGACCGTTTGATGGTGCTTATCGAGAGCGGATCGTCGGCTCGACTTCCGTCCAAGGTGATCGGATTTCTTTGTCGTCCTGGCAACGTCGTGCCCCCAGCCGATCAGTCGCCAATTTATCCTTCCTTGTTATGTTTGCAACCGAGGCGAGCGAGGTCAAGCTCAAGATCGAGATCGATCCGGATTCAAAGTTCCCAGTACAACCGAGAATTGGTCCGCTTGTTATTTGGCGGGCCTGGGCTACTTCGGTGGCATGGACTGTCTCGCGAGTGACGCCAAACGACGACATGATTACTTTCTAAAGATGGTGAACAAGCGCAACTCGGAACTGAGGAATGTGCACCGGATCATCCTGATCGGAACCGGTGAATCGGGTAAGTCGACCTTCGTGAAGCAGATGAAGCTGCTCAGCTCGCAGAACCAGACCTTCCCGGACGGTTATCGGGTGAAGTTCATACCAGAGATTCAGAGGAACCTGGTACAGGCACTGCACTTTATCCTCGCCTTTCTCGACTCGGAGGAGGTGAAGCTGGGCAACGAACGTCTGCGGAAAGCGCAAAAAGCAATCAACAACATCAAAACCGAGATCGACCGACTACCCGACGCCATCACCCATTTTGCCGGCAACCCGAACCCTGATGCGAGGAAGGACTTTTACGACACTTGCTCTCTGCTCTGGGATGAGCCGATTGTGAAGGAGACGGCCCTGCGTGGAAATGAATTCCAGCTGATCGACTGTGCCCAGTACTTCCTGGACCGGATCGACGAGATCGCCAACCCGGCCTACAAGCCGTCTGACGAGGATGTGCTGCAGTGCCGCACCAAGACGCTGGGCATCCACACGGAGTCGATCATCTACAATAACGTCAACTTTGAACTGGTTGACGTGGGAGGGCAGCGGGAGCAGCGGGCCAAGTGGATCGAGGCGATGTCGGACGGCATCACGGCTGTCATCTTCCTCACCGACGTCTCCTCCTACGACATGATGCTGGCCGAGGACACTTCGGTGAACCGACTTCGCGAGGCGATCAGCCTCCTCAGTCAGGTCTGGACGAAGAACCCGCTGCGCGACAAGTCGATCATCCTTTTTCTCAACAAACAGGACCGCCTGGAGAACAAGGTGCGCTCAAAGCGCACCAGCATCGAGGACTTCTTCCCCGAGTTCCGGGTGGGCAAAACGAAGTATCTAATCGACCTACTGCGCGACATAAAGTCGGCCCAGCAGAAGCGGAATAAAAAGGAAAATGATGTCTGGGACAAGCATTTCGCCTACTTCCTGCCCAGCGGCGCTCAGACCGGCGGCGGAGGTGGTCGGGATGGAGGCAAGTCAGGCGGTCCTGCACGCGAAGAGGCCGCGGGTAAGCAGTTGCGCGACGGTGAGATCATGAACGAGTACAGCCAGATCCAAAGCCTCTTATTAAAAGTCATCAACGAAAACAGCCTCAACCAATGGGACCTCGAGAGCTCCGACAAGGAGGTCCTGGCAAAGGATCTGATGGCCCGCGATGACTTCGCCGGTCTCCAGCGCCGTCTTATGGCCGTTCCCCTCTTCCAATTGGTCACTATCACCAACTTCATTCAGGATC